TTCCGGGTCGGAAGACTTCTACTCTTTTATTCTTCACTGATTAAAATTTTGCATAATTTTCTTTTAATTAAAAGAACTTGTTATGAAATTCATCCTAATGTTGAAAACCTGGAAAAATCAGGACAAGGTAAAGAACACAAAGATGATTTAAAAATCACAGCTCTGGTTAGTTTTAGTGTGTTTACTCTGTCTTTTCCCAAGGATGTGTCCGTGAGCATTTTCCCATATTAAATTATTTAACGACATCTTTTTCAGGGACCGCATACGTGTCTGTCGGAATCCCCTTATCTTGTCATATTGAAGCAGTGTTTGATCCCCCTGGAAATGTGCGTTCCCTATTTGCCATCCCTGAAGAGTCCTCCTCAGTGGAGAGCTCGGGAGCTTCCTGTGAGGGGTGTGAAATGTCTTCCTTAAACACACACCCGCACCTGCCATTGGCTTGTTCCAGATCCGTGGAAGAGGAGGCCCTGCCGCTGCAGAAGCAAAGCCCTCACCCTAGTTCCCTGAGCTTGGGTACAGCATTGAAGGAGCCACAGATCACCTGGGAGCTTATTATTGAATAAGTGCAGGTTCCAGTTCTGAGTGGTAGTTGGGGACTGGGACCTGACGGGCTCCCAGCAATGCCCACACTGCTGGCCCAGGAGCCACACTTGGCACCTCGAGCTCGGGCACCTCAGAATTTGCCGAGCGCTCTCTGCTCTTGCTGTGAAGCAGTCTGTGCCTTAGTCTACTCTGGGCCCGTCTGTTTGGGGGCCTTCCTGCACTTCCTCTGTCCATCCCCTCATCCAGGCTCTTGTCCATAGCCCTGTGCTCTCACCACATCCCCACCAGATGCGCTCTTGTCACTCCAGCAGCTCTTGGCTTCCTGGGCCTCCCCCTCCTGCCACCACCAAGTCAGGGGCCAGGAAGGTTTCTTCGCGACTTCGACTTCATTGCTGCCCCCATCGCCCCAGCTTCCTGTGCAGGCGCTCGGGCCTTGTGCTGGCTGATTCCCTCTCTCTCTGTGAGGCACCCTCCGTCAGTCCTGCCCTGGCCCCAACCTGGCATTTGCCCCACTTGGGCCCCTTGACCCTTGGATTTCCCTGGGGGAAGGAAGGAGGGGTGAGACAGACCAGACTCCTGCAGGGAACCCTCTAATCTGTCTACCCCCTATCCACTCCACCCAGCTGGCTTGAGAAACACCGGGTGTGACTGAACAAATCACAGTAATTCAGGTCCATTTCCTGAACCGCCTACCCCTTGGGCCTATTTACCTTGCAGCCCAATAACAGTTCATTGAGTATGTGTGTCAGCCTGGCTTTTTGATCCGTGGCGTTTGGTTTTGATGCCGGGGTACTGTTCTTCCACAGTGTAGGGCCAGTAGAAGGGCTCTATCTTTGTAGTTTTAAGTGGCAGAGGGAACACCACTCCCAACTTGGGAAGTGACTTCTGTCATTGAAAAGAATGCCCCTGGGAGAACATCCCTTAGACTCCCCTCTGCCCTCCTTGCTGGCATAGCCAGTGCTCTGATGGATTAAAAATATGAAGGTGAAGGTTGCGGCGGCGGGGGGGGGCTATATAAGAATATTTTCATTTCTGTTGATATTTTGATAGAAAAAAATATGATTCATGCACTCCTTCGTGTGTGGCCTCGGTTCCTTTTGCAGAGGTATTTTAAGAACATTAACAGGAAGCTTCTCAGGATGGGGGCGCGGTCGCAGGGGGGAGTTGCACATGTGTGAGAGTTCTCTGTCGGCCGGTGTGATGAAAGCTGCCTGTCGCTGAATAAAAGCAACCTCACAAACCCTGACACCTAGGGTTTGGTGCCAGCTGGCCTTGTCATGAGACCCAGGTTCAGAAGAGGGTAGGCGGGTTGCTGATAAGATCCACTGGGCTCCTGGGCAGCTCTTCAACCAAAAAAGGCAGTTAACTGTGGATATTTGCCTGGGGGAAGGGTACACACCTATTCATTCCTTCCTCTTCAAGCTACAAGTATGAGGGAGGAGGTAAACTTCGGGGATGGAAGGAGAAGGGGGCTGGGAAGAAGGCTTCCTGAATCTTTGAGGGACTGAGGAACGGCAATCTCAACTGTGAGAAGGTGTTTTCTCAGCTGTAGGAAAACAGTGCAGCTGTTACTCCAGCTCTGAGAAAAGGCTGTGGGACCAGGACCTTTCATGTGGCCACCAGGCTTTCATGTGGAGAGATGGGTGAGGGCCTCCCTGTAGGAGGGTCCCCGTGAGAGCTACCGCGGCCCTTTCTCTCTCCCTTCCCCGCCCCTGAGGGCTGGCGCGTACGGGAACGGGTTTTCCAAGCCAGAGGCCTTTGGCATCTCTCTTTTCCAGTTTTTCTATTCGTTTATGTGAAAACAGGTTTAAAACGTCACCTTCTATCAGGCATTCTGGGAATCCTAAAGAATAGGATTATATGAAATCCTGGCTGCTGGAAAATCTAGGGCAGGAGGCGTGTGTGAGTCTGTCCTTGCACAGAACCACTGCAGCTAGTCTCACCTTCAGAGATAGCCAGCTTGTCACTTGTCAGGGGTCGGAGGTGTCTTGAGCAGTGGCCTCTTCCTACGGGGGGGAGGGAGGGCGACCAGCAGTTGACCCTGCGGTTGTGTGAGGGATGCGGGGAGGGACTTGCCTGCTTCTCAGAAGTAGGGAGGGAGGCGCCTCAGGGGCTTGGGCACTTTGCAGCCATAGCCCGTAGCTTCCAGAGAGCTCAGTTTTGTGGCCACCCCAGGGCTGACTCATCGTGAGCCATCACTTTAACTGTGTTGTGATGGAAACCTTTCAAACTGTACTAGACACTTAGACACTTACTGCCTTCTTGCTAGAGTCGACAGAGCGTTGTTTAAACTACTTATGGTGCCACGTTTTAGTGGGTTTGCGTGTCTGTGAGTTGATTGCGCTATGGATGCAGAAGTGTGGGACCCACGGGCTGAGTTTTTAGCTCGTCCTGCCTCCAGACTGCTGAATTGTCTCAAATGCTGTGTTTTTTGCTGGTCCACTGATGCCCACCACTAGATTTGCCCTTCAGTCAAATAACCTAACCTTTCTGGGCCTCCGATTTCATATCAGGAAAATAAGGGGACTGGACTGGATCAGAGGTTTTCAACCTAGGTGCTGCGACATGTCCCAGTTTGGGTGGAATTTGGGGGATGCCGTGTTTGATATAAATCGACTAGAATGTAAGCTTCATGAGGGCAGCGACTGTACTCCTAGCTCCTAGAACAGTGCCTGGTCACTAGTCAGCATTTGATAAATATGTGTTGCATGTATATATAAGAACATCTTCAGTGTTTTAGTGCACCCATATGTTTTATACATTGGAGTTGCACATGGGATTTCACTTGGTAGGGAAAGGAGTGCACTGCTAACCCCTTGAAACTGCTGGCCCACCTGAGCTCTGAGGTCATGCCTGCTGGAACTGTCTGTGAAATGAGCCCATTTCTGTTCTCCTTCCCAGAGCACACTTGGATCTAGTTGGCTCTGTGGCCTCCATCACCAGGATTGGCAGCGTCTGGGGATTGGGCTGGCGTAAAGGACCTCTTAGAAAGGGCTTGGCACATTTCTTCATTGCGGCGTAATCTCCACGACACAATCAGGCACATTTTGGGCTTTGTGTTTCATTAACTGTTTGTTGATAAGCTATTATGAAGTGGAACAAGCAGGATTTTGCCCCCCTCTCTCATTTTGATGAGAAGCCTTAAAACTGACTTTTAAAAATGGTTTAAACCTAATGAGCACTTTTCTTCCCATTGTCCTACACTTTTCCATTTTGAATTTCAAGGTTTTGTTTTCCTACAGCATTTTTTTTCTGGAACTTGCTTAACTCATCTTTCTCAGAACTGTTCTGCGGCAGGTATTTGTGGCTTCAGTGGGTGCAAATGAATGTTCTGATTGCCTTGCTTGTTCCTCAGTGGAAATAAAGAGGGCACGTGGGAAGTGCTTCCACACACATGACAACTTTTCCCCAAGTTGCTAGGATGCTTTCCTGGGTTTAGATCTCAGAAGTTTTATTTCTGAAAGTATTTTCCTTCAACAGATGCATTTATCATTCACATTAGGGCAGAAAAATGAAAGCATTGTTATAAGTGAGGTTGTAATGATTTGATCCCATCCCCCTCCCATCTTTACCTCTTTCCATATCTACCTGATGGACTGAGGAGGGGGGCCTCTCTGGGGAGGAGGGACATGACTATTGATGATGTAGATGATAAGTACAGGTGGCTTTCTTGGGAAAGTGGATGGATACCCTGTATTAGGCTCTGCGCTGAGAGCTTTTCCTGAACTGACTCATTTAATCCTCACAACAACCCTGTGAAGTAGGTATTTTTATTCCCATTTAACAATGAGATAATTGAAACCTGGAGAGGTAAAGAATTGGCCCAAGGCCGCTTAACCAGGCTGCATTGGAGCTTGGGTGTGAACCCAGACAGGAGCTTGGGTGTGAACCCAGACAGCCTGGCTCCATCGAGAACGGGGGAGGGCATTTGTCTGAGACATTTCTGATCGTCTCCACTTGTGAGGGAGAAGAGGGGGGGTTGCTTCTGGCATGTAGTGGGGAGAGGCCAAGGATGCTGCTAAACGTGCCACAGTGCACAGGACAGCAACCCCCCCCCAAAGAATTATGGGGCTCCCAATGGTGCCCCAAAGAGTTTGACAAACTTTGCTCTAAATGATCTGTCTCCCACGAGTGTTTCTGCTTTCTGGCAGTTCAACAGAAAACAGTTAGTTTACCTTTTAACCTTAAACCTTATAGGTTCTCTCCACCAACTTACTAAAGTATATCGAGTGTGGTATTTTTTAGAAGATGCATAAGCGGAGGGTGGTGTGAGGGAATGACTCAAAGAATCCAACTGCTGTCTGAGAACAGAGAACTCAATCAGCATTCTGTAAGTAACCCTAACCTCGTGAGAAAGAGACTCCCAACAAGGGGAACGGTTGTGTCCAGATTCGTTGTGACCCAAAAGCCAGTGCTGGCTTGGTGGGTGTTGATGACCTGTCCTTTGCCTGTTTCAGATTTGGTCCCAGTGGCTGTGGGTACTCAGTGCTCATGAAGGAAGGACACTGACCCTTGACAATGCTTTTCATGGAAATGCTGTTGAAACCAGCACGTTCTAGAATGTTGAAACCTGTGTGAGAAACCTCCTGTCCCAAACTCCTTTCCGACAACCCTCCAGAATCGTGTCGTGACAGTTATGGAAAAGATTGTGAAAATCTTGGAGCTTTAAGTGATTCTCTGAACTCAAAAGGGAAAAACTTAAGAACCTGAAATGAAGGAAACACAAGAGCCAATTTCTGGGCCAGGCAAATACACAGCTTCTTGTTCAACTTGCACTCTTAGGTAGCCATTTAATTTTTCCTATTTCATTTTCATTTGCTTCAAATTCTACCAAGTAGAGGTTTATTTATAGCAATTAAACTCTAAAAAACTTTATAAGGGTTAAAAAATTTTTAAATTGAGGTAAAAACAAAATTCACCGTCTTAACCATACTTAAAAATACAGCACAGGGCTTCCCTGGTGGCACCGTGGTTGAGAGTTCGCCTGCCGATGCAGGGCACACGGGTTCGTGCGCCGGTCCGGGAAGATCCCACATGCCGCGGAACGGCTGGGCCCGTGAGCCATAGCCGCTGAGCCTGCGCGTCCGGAGCCTGTGCTCCGCAATGGGAGAGGCCACAACAGTGAGAGGCCCGCGTACCACAAAAAAGAAAACAAACAAAACAGCACAGTAGAATTTTCTAGTTTTATGCCTCAGTTACAGTGATAGTTCACTCTGGCTGTTTTCTACCAATCACGTAGCAGAAGTAGATCTCATTTACTCGCTGGCTGATTCGTTTAGCAAATGCTTGAGTGCTTACTCCCTGTAAGGTAGAAGAGAAATGTTGTTTTGTTTTCTTCCAAAAGAGAAACTTGAAGTGTTTTTCTAATTACAAGATATGTGCTGGTTACAAAGAGTTCAGAAAATACAGAAAAGCGTAGTCACTCATAATCCCACAATTCTGTTAACTACCATTGACATACTGGTATATCCTTTTAGATTGTTTTTTGTTGTTGTTATTGCAGATCTGTATCGTGTTATAATTTTACCCCAAATGCTATCATGCTCTATACTGTTGTGTTATTATCTATTTTCAGTTAATGCAGTGTGGACATCTTTCCATGGCCGTAACTTTTCCTGTATAATCATTTCAGTGGGTGCATTGGATTCAATGATATGAATGCACCATTATGTCAGTGATCAGTACTCCTTCCAGTACAGAAAGGAGCATCCAGGTTCCTTTCTTCTAAACAACTTGTTATGTTAACGCAAGTTCGTGTGCGCAACACACAGTGAGGACAAACAAACCCTAACATCGGAGTTTGGAGCAGAGAAAGGTTTGTTGCAGGGCCACGCAAGGAGACGGGTGGCTCGTGCCCCCTCCAAAACCCCGAACTCCCCGAAGGGTTTCAGCAAAGCATTTTTAAGGCCAGATGAGGGAAGAGGGTCACAGGGTATGTGATCAGCTTGTGCACAGTTCTCTGATTGGCTGATGGTGAGGTAACAGGGCAGTGTCACAGGGGTTAACACTACCAGTCCTTAGGCACCAGTAGGTCTGGGGGCTATGTGCTCATGGTCATCAGGTAGTTCACGTCTTTCATTTGGTGGAGGTTTTCACATCTGCCAAGCAACTCAGGAATGTGCATTAGATGCTGTTATCTAGGTACTTCAGAGAGGAGCTGAAGCAGAGGGTTTGGGGGAATGCCCCATAGGGTCATTTCACGGGTAGAAACAAGGTCTGTTGTTTATTGCTGCATTCTCAGGAATTAACATTGCACAACTGGGTATGTAGTATACTAACCATTAGTTGAGTGAATGAATGGCCTGGTTATTTTCCATAGGATTAGGGGTAGTAGGGCTTTTAAAGTGGGCTAGGGCTTGGGGGTGAGAGAGGGGGGAACTTGGTAATGGGAGTGGTTGAGCTGCTCTGGCAGGGCGCTAATAGAGGGCATCAGGTCCACTGCAGCCAGAGGTTGCCAGGAGAGAGGAGGGGCACACAGAGGGAGATGCCTTCTTCAGATACCTGTTGAATGCTTACTGTACCCCTGAGAGCAGGAGAGAAAAACTGCTTCCTCACTTGCTGCTTCCTTCCCACACAGCCAATTTCCCTTCTGTAGGAAACCAAGGTTTCAGGCCAGTGTTGTCTGTCCAGTGCACCCTCTGTATATGCCAGCAGTGAATAGAGCAGAATGGCAAAGAGCCTACAGATTCAAATCCTGGCTCTACCACTCACCAGCTCTGTCCGGTGGGGTTGATATAATAGCTCATGATAAGTTGTAGTACCTTGCAAAGAGCAAGGGATTAATAAGTGTTAGCTAATATTATTATGGATTAAGTAAGCTTTACTAGGTTCCCCTATATTCTTTTGTGTGGGAGAAATCCACTGTAAGCTCCAAACAAACCAACTTACTAACACATGTATAATATGTGTTGAGGTTTCTAAAACACAATCCTTTTGTGAATTAGCGACTACCTGCCACCTGTATTTCTTGTGCAGTAAGATACGCCTTTATTGAGCAGAGGAATTGTGTGTTCTTGTTCTCCCAGCTTTCAAGTCGCATCATTCTCTCGTATAGCTACCGGTAAAGGGCAGCACGTGGCACCACGGTGGCAAGAGTTGCTATTTACCACTGCCTCTGCCTCCTGACTGTAGTGGAGGAAAAGGCCTGTATAACCTCAGTGGGAAGCTGTTTCTGAGCATCTAGTGAGGAGAATGAGGTGCAAAATATTGGTTGTGTAGTCCAGAATTTAAATAAATACTGCTATCAAAGTAGAATCAGTTGTTCCTTACCTCTCTGCTGACCGCTGGTGATTCATAGATAATCCTAAAACCTCAAAGGAGAAGGAAGGAAAGTGGGCTGTGACATGGCATGAGTAGTATTGTGTGTTACCCAAAGATGTGGAAATGGAAATTAAAAGATAGCACCGTTCACTTTAATAAAATATTCTGAACCTGGTTTTATGTCTTGTGTGTTTTTCTTCTCTTTCCTTGGTATTAACGCCCCCCCACCCCCCAGCTTGCACAGGAACACCTGGGTTCTGCTTCCAGCAGCTTCAACAACTTCAGTTTTTTAGGAACTTCCTTACTGCTGCCCCGCCTCCTCGCCATGTATTAAGGGACAATATTGTAATTATTGTAGTTAACAAAAAATCTCTAAGGTCTTTCCTCAGTTCTGCTAGGGCTCCTGCATTTCCAAGTCAGGAAAAGGGACTGAATGAAGGTCCGTGTCAGGTTTGAAGCAATCTTTCCTTTTGCAGTTTCAACTTAGTTTTGACGTGCTAAAGCCAACTAGGCTGTCCAGAGCTCTCAAGGAATAAGTCTGAATGAATGAATGTTTTCCACTTTGCTGAGGGATTTACATTCCCCCAAACTAAAGCATTGGAACTGAAAAAAATGTGATCTGTGTTTGCGGTGATTCTTGCGACAGAAGTGTCCTACGCAACTCGTTTGCCTTCCTAAGTGGAACGAAGGGAACCCGAGTTAATGGGGTGCCTGAGTCATTATGATGAATTTGAGTTATCTCACTGCCGCGGGAGCTGAACATCGCAGAATGTAGCCCAGGAAGCAGTGGGGTGATGCTCATAGAACCTGCGCCTGCTTGAAGAGCTTTTGACTGCTCCACTTTTTAATTCTTCCCTTTCTGATTGATTATTCTCTCTCTCCTTGCTTTGGGTTTAACCCAGTGTGCTTGCCTCTTGCAGGTCATTTTTCAACATCTAAGAACTTGTGGATGGTAGGGATCAATCAGATCACCTCTTACAGGGATGAACAGACTGTAGCATGGGTGCCACCATGCACATGGTGCTCATTGGTCCTTGCATTTTCCCTGTGGATTGAGACATTCAGCCTTAAAACCTACCTCAGGACCGCCACTGCCAATGAGTTGAGCGTCAGATGAAACCTGTTTACCTATCCTCTGTCATCTGCCTAGGCTCCTTCAATGTGCAAGTGAGGAAAACCAAGACCCAGAGCTGCACAGAGTTAGAATCCAGGCCTTCTGGTTCTCAGACCCGTACTCTTCCCACCAGTGGGCTTAAGCAAGCCTGTTGGAACTGTGAAAAAAAGACCTGAGGGAGGAAGAGGGGAACTCTCACAAGATACATGAGCATGTGTTTGTGCTGATTCTATGACATCTCTTTGGCTTTCTTCCTGATTCTTTGCTATTTCCAGTTGGTGGTGTTGTCAGCAGGGAATTCTAGGTAATAAAGGAATTGTGCTTTTTAGTTTAACAAAAGAACCCAGAAGTTACTACCAGCCCTAGCCCATGTTTCGCTTCTGTGATCACTTCCTCACGTGCCTGGCATCAGTCCTTAGAAGAACTGTCAGCCCAAGGCCAGTGGGAGGACAAGGAGAATGTGTATTTATTTACTGTGGTTTTGGTAGTGTGTGTGTGCACGTGCGCACGCGCGCACGAGGGCACGCACCTTAGACAGGAGAAGAAAACTAACACTAAGGGGGAGGCCCAGCTCCAGGTAGCAGCAAGAGGCTGGCTAATCCTTTCATTTGGACTCTGCCCCGGCAAGGACAAAGCACCTTCTATTTAGAAAAGCCTTTGCTATTCATGCTGTTGCTATTGCAAAGGAAGTTAGATAGAGGGTATGAACGGCTCTTTGAAATTTTTCTCTTTCAGTATATTTGGGGGAGGGGAAGTTTCTTCAGAAAGAAAGAAAACACACAAGTCAATACCACACTGCAAATACTTCTGTACCATTATCTTGAAACTTAGTTACTTTTCTTAAATAGTCCGTTTTCTTTTTCTAATCACGAGAGTAATACATGCACATGGTAAAAACCCAGACAGGGGAGCAAAACAGTGAGACATGGCTGTCTTAGTTTCCTCCCCACATCTAGGCCCACTCATCTAGGCCCAGGTGATCGATGTTAGCGGTCTTTGTGTCCACACACATATTCCCCACGTACAGATATGCGTACGTATAAAATATCCGGGCATACTGGCTGTCTTCGTTTGCTGAAGCTGTCATAACCCAAGTACCACAGACCAAGTAGTGTAAACAACAGAAATTTAATTTCTCACAGGTCTGGGAGCTAGAAGTCCGAGATTAAGGAGGCTTCTCTCCTTAACTTGTAGATGGCTGTCTTCTCCCTGTGTCTTCACATGGTCTTCTTTCCGTGTGTCTCTGTGTCCTAATCTCTTCTTCTTACAAGGACACCAGTCATATTGGATTAGGGTCCACCCCAGTGACCTTATTGAATCTTAACTACCTCTTTAAAGGCCATCTGTCTAAATAAAGTCATGTTTGGAGATACAGGGGGTTAGGATTTCCAACATATGACTGGAGGGGCGGGGGCAGGGACACAGTTCAGCTCATAACACTGACTTATTCTTTTAAACTATGTCCTATTGTATGGATAGTCCATAATTCATTTATTCTGCCCCTGTGTAGCTGGAGAATAAGACCTTTTTTATGCTTTTTTTCTTTTTTAATTTTATTTATCTTTGGCTACGTTGGGTCTTCATTTCTGCGAGCAGGCTTTCTCTAGTTGCGGTGAGCAAGGGCTACTCTTCAGTGCGGTGTCCAGGCTTCTCTTTGCGGTGGCTTTTCTTGTTGCGGAGCATGGGCTCTAGGCGTGCAGGCTTCAGTAGTTGTGGCACATGGGCTCAGTAGTTGTGGCTCGTGGCCTCTAGAGTGCAGGCTCAGTAGTTGTGGTGCACGGGCTTAGTTGCTCTGCAGCATGTGGGATCTTCCCAGATCAGGGATCGAACCCGTGTCCCCTGCATTGGCAGGCGGATTCTTAACCACTGCGCCACCAGGGAAGTTCCCGTTTTTATGCTTTTAATTAACAACCTATACCTAAATCTCTGTGCTCTTGTGTAAGTATACCTACAGGATGAACTTCTAGAAGAATTGTAAGCATCGCCCTCCCAAAAGATTGTCCTGGGTCCCTCTTGAATGTCTACTGATTTCTTGTGGAAAAAGATTGTGTGCAGTATCTATAAATTAAAGCCCTTAATAATGAACTCTTTGTGATACAATGTGGGTGTGAGAAATTCAGAGTGCAGCACATGACTTGTGCCCTTGGCCCTGTGGAGTGAGATTGCCAGCCCTTTTGTTTGAGGAGTGTTGCTGTTAGGACTTTATCATATATTATTCATTCAACATTTATTGAGCCATTGATGGGCACTGTTTTGTTCATATGTTGTTGTTTGTTTTTTGATAGACTTTATTTTTAAGAGATATTTTAGGTTCACAGCAAAATTGAGAGGAAGGTACAGAGATTTCCCGTATACCCTCTGCGCCTACACACGCACAGCTTTACGCATTATTCACGTCCCTCGCCAGAGTGGTACATTTGTTACAACCAGTGAACCTACATGGACACATCATTATTATTTAAAGTCCATAGTTTACATTAGGGTTCACTCTTGGTATTGTCCATTCTACCTTTGTTTTTTATACCTTGACTTGTTCAGTAAAATGTTTAGGTCCTCTGGAGTCGGGGGTAACAAGACAGAGGCACTTCTCTCCAAGCTTGTGACAGCCCCTGAAGTTAGGTTGGCCAGGAGTTGCTTTCTCCAGTTTTGAGGGTGAAGAGTAGGGGAGTGACATGTTCACAGTAATAAAGCTGTAAGTGGCAAGGAATAAAAGGTAAACCCATTTTATTCTAAATTATGCTCTTCCGGAAAGAAGTAGTAAGTCAGCAGGGCTGTGAGATTTTCCTCACTGCTAACATAACATTGCTTGTGTGGATGCTGTTTTGAATTTCCACTTCCGTATCAGCGTTTAGCTTAAGATAATGCACTTGTACTATGGTATTGGTGATTGGCATAGTTTGCTTTCATAAATAACTTTTAGGCTAGTAGAGAAGTGCTCTTTGATTCTAATATTAGGCATGTGTGTATGTATGTACACTTGTCTGTATATATGTATACACACATAAATATCATAGCACCACATGTAGGGTGAAAGTGAAAAATAAGGAGAGTTTAAAAAATTAGATCCATACAATGACACATGACTTTAATGACAGAGTAGGATTAAACCAATGTGATTTTCTCTTCACGTTTTCCATGATCACATTCCTCTGTCAATATTTGTCTTTAAATGACCCATTAGGCTGACATTATGTCTGTATGTGCTCATTTTTCCCCTCTGTGGAGATAGTAAGTGTAAATGTTGATTCTGCTATGGGTAAGTTCTCTCATAGGATGTATCAACTGCTTCTAAGTATTTCTTTTTCCAGATAGGATAAATATTTGATCACATTTGAAATACAGTAAAACTGGTTATCTAAGACCATAGAGCTTAAAGAGTTAGCAACCGTTGAATGAGGCAGTTTGGAAAGAATTTGGCAGGCAGAGGAGGAGGGAGGCGGGTCTGGGCCAGAAGCCATCTAAGCCAGTGGGAGTGGAGAAGAGGGAGCCGGGGAGGGAGAGGAAAGAAAAACTGGGGCATATGAGTGGAAAGGGATCAGTAAAATCAGGGACAGAGAATATGGATGAGTGAACTGTAAAGGAAGGTGGCCTGTAAGAACACCACACAGGCAGCAGTGTTAGGATCCCACTCGTGTGATCTGTTAGCTCAGCCCAATAGAATAGCTTGTCTTGCAGAGCAGTCCCCGCCTTCTGAGGCAAGAAGAGTCTTGAGAAAAATGGCTTAGAAAACTGAAGGTAAGATGGAGAGAGTACATTAAGAAATTTTAAGTAATGAAATAGTACAGAATGACAAAGGGCTGCAACAATGGCGGTTCCATGAAGTAGATGAAATATCTTGGGAAATGTGTATGTTTCTAAGATCTGTCCTAACGTCATTATGATTATAACCTGTTGTGGTCTTACACCTGTGGTCTCTTCTTACTGTAAGTGATGTTTATAGTGTAGCCTTCTAATTGATGCTTGTTTTGAAGCCATGCAAAGCTCTGAACTTCCTGCTAAATAACTATCAAGAGATTGCATTGTTAGGTTTTATGTATAGTGTTAATACATGTAGATTTGGTTGTTATTCGTGGTTTATGGTAATCACTTTTGTATTATTCCCTATTTGCTAAACGGATATCCCTCCCTAACACCAGGTGTGTCTGATTAGGTTGTCCAAGAGACCACCAAGTACACTAAGTACTGTTAGCACCCTCACTTTAAAAAATGAGGAGTCTGGGGCTTCCCTGGTGGCGCAGTGGTTGAGAGTCCACCTGCCAATGCAGGGGACACGGGTTCGTGCCCCGGTCCGGGAAGATCCCACATGCCGCAGAGCGGCTGGGCCCGTGAGCCATGGCCGCTGAGCCTGCCCGTCCGGAGCCTGTGCTCCGCAACGGGAGAGGCCGCAGCAGTGAGAGGCCTGCGTACCGCAAAAAAAAATGAGGAGTCTGAGCCTTGAAAACGCTCATAGCTGGTAGGTGGCAGAGCCAGGGCCCAAACCCAGGCTTACTAAAGATCTAGTTTCCTTTTAGGGCAGTGAAAATACTCTGCTACATAATGTTGCATATATGTCATTATACATTTATCTAAACCTGTTCAATACACGACACCGAGAGTGAACCCAAAATGTACCGTTCCGGTGACTGATATTGATAACGGGGGAGGCTATACATGTGTAGGAGTGGGGGGCATATGGAAAATCTCTGTGCCTTCCCCTCAGTTTTATCGTGAACCTAAAACTACTCTAAAAAAACAAGCTCTTTAAGAAGAAGAAAAAAATTAACACCAGACCCAAACCTGAAAACTTAATCCCCTATTTTATTTAATATTCTCAAATAAAATTATGTCCTGTTGCATTGACCAGTAAAGCCCAATCCTGCCCCACTCATTAGCCTAAAGCCTACCCTTAGGGGCCTGAAGCTGTGGTCAGCAACACACATGTAAGAGGCACCTGTGCCTTTTGTGCTTCAAGTTACCTCCGCCCCCCCCGCCCATGCAGTTCATTCTTTGGCTCATGGATTTTGACAGGTCCCTTTCTTGGGCCCAACTTCTTGGCATTCCCGTCCTTCCCACTTCACTTAGTCCTTTTTCTAGTTCTTGGCTTCTTGCTCTTCACCAATTGGTTTTTGTCTAAGAGTGATGACAGTGCTTCAGGTGAAGTGTGCCTTTTCTGTTTAAGTATTGGGCATCTCCCAAGCCATCATGTTTATTAAAGACAATGTCAGACCAATTCTGGCGAAAATTTTGTTCACGCACTCAACTGTTCACACATGTCCTATGGGCAGGACGCCTTGGAAGAACGGTAGCTCACCTGCAGAGGTCTGGGGTAAGCAGGTTTGTGAAGGAGAGGCTCTGAGAGGATGTTTTGTGTTCCTTTCCTAGTTGGCCTGCTGCTGTGGGAATGCTGGCTGCTCCTACTGCTGCGGCTGCTGCCCCAAGATCCGCCAGTCCCGGAGCACCCGCTTCATGTACGCGCTCTACTTCATCCTGGTCGTCATCATCTGCTGCATCATGATGTCCAACACTGTGGCCAACGGGATGAGGGAGCATGTAAGTCACCCCTTCACCTCTTCCTACTGCTGATGAACGGTTGATGAGGGTGTGTGGGAAACATTCAGTTTAGAGGATGGGGCCCACCCACCCCAGGGTGGTTTAGGGTTATACCCGCTCTCCCTAAACTTCCCTGAAGCCTCTTCAGTGCTTTCCTTCCAAGTGGGCGAACCCTTCACCATCTCTATCTTTAGTAGAAGGACAGATGCCATCTGATGCTTTTGGTGCAGAAGATTGTGTGTGTTGTCTTGGCTTCATTTTGGGTTTTTTTTTTTTGTTTTTTTTCCTTTTTGGCCATGCCATATGGCATGCAGGATCTTGGTTCCCTGATCTTGGTTCCCTAACCAGGGATCAAACCCACGCCCCCTGCAGTGGAAGCACGGAGTCTTAGCCACTGGACCGCCAGGGAAGTCCCATCTTAGCCTTGTTGATGGCCGTTCCTGATTAGATGTGTAGTCTTTTCTTACAGACCTTTGTACTCTTCCCTTGTCCTAAGGCTGTCTGCCAGTGTCTCTGGTAGCAGCTGTTATATATAAACACTTAATGTAGCCAGTATGGTAAAGCCTACGTAATCCCACAGGTAATGAGGAGTGGGCTATTGGGCAAGTTTTACTTTTCTGGACATGTCACTTGTGGGGTGGGTGTCTCCAGGGGTGAGGGATGGATTTGCTTCCAGCCATTTCCTGGGCAGTGTCTACAAAGGTATCCCTGGTACATGATGCTGATAGAGACACATATAGGGCCTTTTTTCTGGAATTTCCTCGTAGTGGGCCTGATTATGGGGGGAAGTGTTGGGGGTTCTGAGGGAGCCCAATAAATAACACCATCCTTCCGCTCTGAGGTTTTGAACAAATTGACAAAAAAGACTACAGTTTCAGCGGGTAGATGCCAAACATTGCCTTCATCCCCCCAGAAGTTGATGTAAGACATTGTGGCTCGAATCTGCAAGGAAGTGGTCTTCCTACTACTGAACCCCAAAATGAGTTAGACAACCCATCTGGGGACCCCACCTGAGCCGGGGAGCACTTCCTCTGCAGTGGCACAGTTTGCTGGGAAGAGCTGCAGGTGTGTTCTCTGGGGGCAGCTCTCCTCGGAGGGAAAGCGGGAGAAGAAAGGCTCGCCAGCCAGACCCCATTTGCCCCACAGCCTTAGTGCTGAGCACTGCATCTTCCTGGGGCCAGCAGAGTGGGGGGGGGGGCAAGGTCAGGGCAGTGCCCTACTGGAAGCCTAGAGATGGCATCGCCAGGAGCAACTCCTGAGGAACTGTTTGTTCTCCCCAACCTTATGCTGAAACTGCAGACTATTTTAAATGCACTCAAGGGCTTCAGAACAATCATGTTTTTAGAAGCACTTGTTATATTCTTATCCGTTAAAGTAGTCCCTTTGAAGCTTTCTGTTGGGTAATGCTTTTATAACTGTGGTGGTATGATCTGGAATATACTGGAACTAATGTGAAAACTTGTGAAGTTTAGATTCTCCTCTGATTGCTTTAAACAGTGGATCTCTGTTCAGTAAGGCCCTGCATGGGAGCCATGGGTCATTCAAACTTGAGAGAAAAGGAGCTTCTAACCCAGAGACAGGTATGAAGTCTGAGGCTTAAAACCAGGTAGAAGTTGTGTCTTATGAGAGCATGCATGAAGTGCTGTGGAAGTTTGGAGGCAGGGAGACCAAGGGCTAAGGCTGCCTTGTTCGTCTACACCAGGTCCTACTCCATCTCGGTGGTGTTTTCCACTCTTCTCTTCTTCTTAACTTGGTTTAATCTTAAATGTTTGTGACAAGAAGTTTGAGAGGAGGAATACTTGAAAGGGTAGATTTTAACTCTTATTCTGAAGGTCTGTTTAATCTCCCACTTCTTACCTTAGCTTTTCAGGTAACTTAATATTCTCTTTTTAAATGAACAAGCATTGGCTTAAGGACCCAGTGTGGGGCTTCCCTGGTGGCGAAGTGGTTAAGAATCTGCCTGCCAATGCAGGGGACACGGGTTCGAGCCCTGGTCTGGGACGATCCCACATGCCGTGGAGCAACTAAGCCCGTGTTCCATAACTACTGATCCTGCGCTCTAGAGCCCGCGAGCCACAACTGCTGAGCCCATGTACCACAACTACTGAAGATCGCATGCCTAGAGCCCGTGCTCTGCAACAAGAGAAGCCACGACAATGAGAAGCCCGCACATGGTGACGAAGAGTAGCCGCCACTCGCCGCAACTACAGAAAGCCCACATGCAGCAACGAAGACCCAACACAGCCATAAATAAAGAAGGAAGGAAGGAGGGAGGGAGGGAGGGAGGAAGGAAGGAAGGAAGGAAGGAAGGAAGGAAGGAAGGAAAAATTAAAAAAAAAAAAAAAAGGCCCCAGTGTGTCACTGTGATAGGAGCTGCCAGTGTGTCCATGGTGCTCTTAAGAAGCTTTCAGTCTCCGTGGAATTAGGCTTTGGATCCCAGAAACATAATCTGAAACTACAAATGTATAGTACCTCTTAGAGATGAACCCATCAGAAACATTGTTACTGGAGGTAAAGATAATTTGGGAACCACAGGACCTATTTTAGGATATGACTTTCATAATGATAATTTTAACATTTGATAACCATCCAAGTAACCTGCCTCATGGAACAGTCCCTAACAACTCCAGTCAGTATCTGACTGTTCATAGAACGTTTAAGAAACAGAAGATTTAAAAAAAAAAGAAAAGAAAGAAGAGAAACAGAAGGTGTTGACTGGTGTTGCTAGGGAAGGCTTCGTGGAAGAAGTGACTTGTGTGATAATAATGAATATTTCAATTGCTAATATCTGTTGGGTGATACCGTGTACCAGGTTTTATTCTAGGCATTTTACATTATCATCTCAGTTCATGACCACTGTACTCACCTGAGCAGTATTATCCCTGCTCTACAGATGAGGAAACTGAGGTACTGAGTCATTTAAGTACCTTGCCCAAGGTCTCCAGCTCTAAGTGGTGGAGTTGGGATTTGAATTCAGGCTGACTGAGTTCTTAGCGACTAGGCTCTGTAGGTAGAATAAGGACAACACATGTGTAGAAGGGAGGAAACACGGGGAGGTAGAATGACTTACAGGAATCTCAGTGCTAAGGTGAGGCATTTGGCCGTGGTCTTGTGGCAAGTGGGAAGCCATTAGAGATTCTTGAGTAGGAGGCTGTTGTCATAGAAACAGGCCGAGATACTCAGGGGGTGAGCCCAGCAGTGGTGTGTGTGCAGTGTGACTTGGGGTCAGAGCAGAGGGAAGGAGGAAGGGAGGGAGAGAGGGAAGGAGGAAGGGAGGGAGAGAGGGAAGGAGCAACCCCGAGGCCTCACAGAGGCTCTTGTAAATGTTTCTCTGCCTGTTCCCTGAAGGTACTGATTTGAAAATGGTTTGGCTGGGCTTCCTGAATAGGGAATGAGGCCCCTGTGGGTGAAACCAACACTTTCCCATCTCTAAGGCCTCACAGGGGGCCAGCCAGCTGGTCACCAAGTCAGCTTGTTTCTGGGCCTATAGAATAGAGGCTGGCCTCACCCTCAGGCGGTGCTTGAGGGCAAGCGCTGGAAGGTCCCTTGGGGGATGCACACTGGGCTTCTGCTGCAGTCCTTCCTCCTCCCTCCTCGTTGGCCTGGGGAAATGGTTAAGGGTGTGACAGGAAGAGGGGAAGCACGTATCCTTGTAACAGCCCAGATGGGAGAGCGCAGTTGCCTCCTACCCGGCATCCTTGCCTTCCTGCGCAGTGGCCAGGGCTCCGTCGGGTGTGTGGATTTTGAACACAAGGCAGCACCTTTTCAGTTGTTTTCAGTTTTTGCCTTGGCTTCCCAATGCGGCCTGTGTTGTAGTTTGAGCGAGAGGGAACTGCAAAGAGCTGCTGGGCCAGACTTCGTCCCGCCTCATCTCTCTCGGGGAAACTCCTCTTTCCCGTGAGAACTTCGGCTCTGCTGTGCTGGTTGAATGGGATGCGATTTCTGTCTTCTCCTGGAGCATTTTTCCCATCTCAAAACATACCAGCCATTTTATTGCAGGTCATTCTTGTCAGTGACCATGTAATTCACGCAGGAACAGTCTTGAGATATTTGATGCTTGTGGGGATTAAAAATCCATTTTAGAATGTAGAACAGCAACCACAAAATGGGCGAGAGATTTAAGCCTCCTGACCGGCACCGCTAAATCAAGGTGGAACTTCTGTGTGGAGACCAATGATGACACTTTGAGTCTGGGCGTCCTAGGAAGCTGCGCGGGCATTTGGGGAGGGAGGAGAAAGGAAGGCTCTTCTTGTTTCCTGTGGGACAGGAGCCCCTAAGACTAAGCCTGCATTGGAAAAGGGAGGACAGGGCATCTATGTGGCCCTCAGGGCTTCTTTCCTGTGAGCTGTGTGCCAGGCCGAGGGAAGAAGAGCCCTAAAGGTTCCTGAGTGGAAGAATCCATTTTCTCCATCCCGCATTCCACTTGGTGCCCAGGCTGCTCTGAGGCATTGACATGGGTGGTAGGTAGTACCTGAACCTTTGCGTTTTCTTTCTTCCAGAACCAAAACATACCTCCCACACCGTGGAAGACGCGTTTATGTTGTTGTTTTAGTGTGTTTCTTTGCTTGCAATTTAAATCTTGAAGAATCATTCCTTGTATTGAGAGGAGAATCTCCTATGATGTTTGTTTTTGGTAGCAATCTTTTTTTGTTCCTTCAGTTGTTTGTTTGTTTTTTTGTTGCCATACTCGGGCCTCTCACTGTTGTGGCCTCTCCCATTGCAGAGCACAGGCTCCGGACACGCAGGCGCAGCAGCCATGGCTCATGGGCCCAGCCGCTCCGCGGCATGTGGGATCCTCCCGGACCGGGGCACGAACCTGTGTCCCCTGCATCGGCAGGCGGACTCTCAACCACTGCGCCACCAGGGAAGCCCCCTTCAGTCGTTTTAAAAGGTGTTAACGTTTTGTTTGTACTTTTACTGAATCTCTTTTGGAGACATGGTTTGCTTTATACATTATTTTCTGCTGGTGGGTTTGGATCAGTTTTCCTCTGAGTGAGTAA